GCCGCGCTCCCAAGCGGCGCACTCTCCAGTGCGCTACCGGGCCGGCCCGCCCACCTTCTTTTCAATGCCAAGTTCAAAGGAAAAGAGAAGCCTCCCTTTCCCAGCAGGTCTTTTATAGCCTTGCTCAGCCAGGCCTCTGCTCATGGGAGTTGGTGGTAGGAGGACACTTTATGATGTGTGCTGGGAGAGGGTCCACATTGGCCTCTGCACTGGGGCAATTTCTATATCTGACCTGAATCCTCAGATTACACTGATATAAAGATGGGGCTAAAGAACATTAAAAGTGTAATCTGAAGCATGAAAGGTATGACATGGAAAGGCAGGGGGTGGGGACAGGTGCTTTTGTGCAGCCCAAGGAAAGAAGAGACAAACTGAATAGCTGGAATACTCAGGGAGAAACCTCTGAGCTGCTGTGAAACATGGGGATGTGCCAAAGCAGGAAGCCCAGGTGGTTATCATTTACAAGCCAGCATAATTCTCCACAGCAACAGGAACAAGGCCAACCATATCTGAACTGGAGGTTACTAAGTTGAATGACATATGGGGACAGACTGGTTCCCACCTTAGTGCTGACAAAGCCGTGGCAATCTGCAGGCCTCAGTGCTGTTTTGGTGGCTATTCTGCAGGCTCCCCATGGTTGCATGAAGGACATTCCCTAGGGTCCCCCCATCCCCAGCTTTCTGCTGCAGGGCCCATTATGAGGAGAAGTTGCAGGCAGCCCAGGACAAAGAACTGTGATAAGGACAGAGCTCTGGACCATCTCTCTCTCTTCTGGAGGTGCTGCTGCCCTAGGAAAGGCACCAGGGGCAGCAGCTCTGAAGTCCCCGAAGTGCCCCAGGACAGGGAGCAGCCCAGAGTCCGCTGATCTTCCCTGACATGTGCTCTGGGCATTGGCTGGCACAGCAGGCACTGACCGAGAACATCCTCACAGTTGCTGACACAGGGGCATGGTGCAAAGGCCCCTCGGTCTGCTGGTGAGCCAAAGAGGGAAACTAAAACTAGGACATCCTCAAGAGGCGGGGGGTGGACAAGGCTCCCTCTCAGCACAATGCCTGCCTTCTGGCCACGGGAAAGCTAATGCAAATACTGCAGGTACAACAGGGAGCACACGGTGATGGAGGTCAGACAGAAAGCAAGCTTGGAAATGCTCCCTGCGTGGACTTCATTGTCTCAGATCCCTTCCTATTGCTCACCTACTCTTTTTTGGAAAAAATAGCACAGAAGTAGTTTCACTTAAAAGCAATATAAATAGAACTTACAAGGCTGCTTATTTCAATCATTTGCTACCCTTCAAAATGGTGACACTTCAAAGAAAAGCAGTCTCTATCCCCTATGAGCAAGAGAAGCAGCTGCAGTTGTCTGCTTCTGCCTTCTGATGACGCCCTTGTGCCGAGAGTGAGACTGACAGCCTGAGGCAGGTGGGACTAGCTGGCTGAAGGTCATGGGTCTGTTTCTTCCCCTGGGTGTGAAGCCTAGTGCTAAAAAAGGCCAAGCCATGCATCTTCTTACACTGGGGCAAAGATCTAGAAGGAGCAATTTTATAATTTCTGCTTTCAGAGAATAAGGTGAAATACATCAAATAGCAGAGCTACAAAAGCAGCAAGCTGATCTAGGAGCGATAATTAAAGGGCAAAATGAAAAGAGTTCAGACACATGGCTCCATAAAGCTTTGCAAAAATGCAACTCATTAGACAAAGAGTGTTCTCTGAGCCAGAGGAGCAGGGAGCAGACAAAAGGCAACACCAGATCTTAATGCCAGAGAGGGAGGGCCAGTTTAATTCTTCCATGCAGGCAACACTCTCAATTAAGAAGACTACACTGCAAAAATCTTTTGTCTTAAAATTCTGTTAGTTAACATTTCAGTGACCACAGAAAGTTCCTGAGATAAAAGCATATGTATGACTAGCAAATATCCTACCCATGAAAGCCTTAAGCTGTGACAACACATCCTAAGATAAACCTTGCTCTGCTGTCACTAAGCCAAGAACAGCTATGCAGACAAGATGGAGACATCTCGTGCTGCATGTCATCCATGGTCACTGGAGTAAGGGAGTATGCTTCCCCCAGGGCTTTCTAGAGGGCTGTGTCACTGCACCTGGGATGGGATCCAGCTAGAATGAATGAGTCCTTCAAATCAGCAAAACATTAAGTGAGGGGCTGCAGCATCCAAGGCAAGGCTTGGGGAGCCTGGGCAGGCGCCGAGTGAATGAGCTGGAGCTTACCACAACTGGCCCTAGAGAACAACCCCATGCGGGCTAGGCACGTTTACAGAAGAGCAAGGTGCTTGTTGGGAAAATATAGGAAAATGGTCAGGGTCCCTCAGATGTTCAGAATCTTGCTGAGTATTTGATGTAAATATGCACGTGCGCCCAGGTGTTCCTTCGTTACTGTCTAATGTATTTGAGCATGTGCACCCAGGTGTCCTGGGTTATGGACTTAAGTATAAAGGATGAGTGGCTCTGATCCACAGTGCCCTCCACCCTGTGGGATGCCCCCGGGGGGCCATGGGGAGGCCACTACTGCTGCTGGAGGCTGTTCCTGCTGCCAGGGCCCCTGGGACCCTCCATGAGGCCACTGCTGGACTTGTAAGCTGCTGCTGCTGTTGCTGAGGACTGAGCTCACGTTGTCTACCAATGGCTCCTGGGATCTTTCCCAATGACCTAGCCTGGACCTGCATGTGAGGGGTCGGGTGACCCAGTCTGTACAATGGGTTTGAAAGGTCTGAGCCCTTGCCCTGACAATACAAATGGAAACTTAGTATAACTAAAATAACGAAACATTTTGGTTTTAGTTATGATTTGCCTTATTCAACAACTGCTGTAGTCGTGTACCTTTACAGATGCTTAGAGAAATTTTGCATTTTTCTGTTTCTTAATGTCTTAAACTAGTGAATTTAACTAAAATAACGAAACATTTTGTCTTCAGTTGTGATTTGCCTTACTCAACAACTGGCATAGTCGTGTAGCTTTACAGCGCTGTCCTCACAGCTTGCGTTAGTGGTGCCTGCTACCCCTCCTGCAATATGGGACCAGTCTTAGCAGTCCCTTCTTGCTTTTCATGGTCTAGGACAATACAGAGTCCAGAGCAGCTGACCCATAGTGGATGGGCCTTGAAATCTAGGACACCTGGAGAGACGAGTGGTCATGGGCAGCGTTGCGGAGAAGACAGCAGCACCTACACCCGGCACAGGACACACCAAGCTCTCAGTAACAGTTCCACGGAGCGCATGGCTGGTTGCCCTGCGAGCCATCTAGCCTCTGGCTCCCATGTTTGCTGTCTCCCAGGGGAAGTGAAACCTCCTGAGCAAACAACTGCAAGCAGGCAAAAACAAAACAAAAACACAAACTCAAGATGTGGCAAAACAGGAACCCTTACTCACCACTGCGAGAAGGTAATAGGGCTGCCCTTTTGGAAAATAGTCTGGCAGTTCCTCAAAATGTTAAACACAGAGTTCCCATCTAACTCAGCAACTCCAAACCTAACTGTACACCCAGGAGAACTAAAAACATACATCCTCACAAACACTTGTACATGAATGTGTACAGCAGCATTACTCATAACAGCCAAAAGGTGGAAACAACCCAGATGTCCATCAACTGACGAATGAAGAAAATGTAGAATATCCATGCAATGAAATATTATCTGGCAATAAAAAGAAAAGACATACTGATACATGCTACAACACAGATGACTCTTGAAGTATGCTAAGTGAAAGAAGCCAGTCATGAA